TTTGGTTTAAACGCTTTCGTGATGGAAATTTCGACTTAAAGAACGAGTCACGAGGAAGACCGCCCACACAGGTGAATAACGATGAATTAAGAGAGATAGTGGAAGCCGATCCTAGTCAAACTACCCAGGAATTAGCGGCATGGTTTAACGTTACCTTACCCACAATATTGACTCACTTGCGACAAATCAATAAAATAAAAAAATACGAAAAATGGGTGCCTCATGATTTGACTGATCTGCAGAAAGAAACGCGTGTTGAAACTTGTGTTGCCTTGTTGAACCGGTACAGAAATGAAGGAATATTGGATCGAATTGTAACATGTGATGAAAAGTGGATTCTTTATGATAACCGGAAAAGAAAAATGCAATGGCCCCAGGTCAAATGCCACAACAGTGTCCTAAAGCAAAACTTACCAATAAAAAGGTAATGGTAACTGTTTGGTGGTCTCAGCATGGTGTTATTCACTATAGTTTTCTCCGATCTGGTCAAGCAATAACGGCAGATGTCTATTGTGCCGAACTCCGAACCATGTTGACAAAACTAGCAGTAAAACAGCCCCGACTCATGAATCGATCTTCACCATTATTGCTCCACGACAACGCGAGACCTCACACAGCACGAGAAACCATTTTGACCCTTCAGGAACTGCAGTTAGAAACCATTCGTCATCCTCTGTATTCACCAGACCTTGCTCCAACGGACTACCATTTTTTTCGTGATTTGGACAATTATCTACGTGACAAGAAGTTTTCTTCCCAGGAGGCAGTACAAAATGCTTTCACACAGTTTGTGCAGTCTAGATCGTCGGAGTCCTATCGCAAAGGCATTAATAACCTTCCCATTAGATGGCAGCAATGTATAGATAATAATGGCAACTATTTTGATTAAATAAATTTGTTAAAAATTTAAAAAATAAACAATTTAGATTTTCAGTACAAATCGGCAATTTCATACTTTAACCCCTATTATTAGGAAATAGTGCCATCCCTAATGACTTACCTTGACAGCATTTAAATATCTTGTTGAAAAATGTTTTTCTTACCTGGGAACAGACAAAGAACATAATAAGTAAATTTTTAAATACCAATTCTCACATAAAGGGCATGTCCGATTCATTATTAATTTTATTTTCTATTTTGGCGAAGTTTTATTTTTACGTATCTCAATAATTTTAAAATAACATCGATCACTTCTAATGGAAAGAAGCGTCTTTGGAACGTCCTTTGATTTCAGTGTAATGAAACGAACACACCCAAAAAGTTTCACATAATTAACTTTTTTAAGCTTAGACTACAAGTGGATTTTGCATTTTTTTTTTTTTACTAAAATTGAACAGAAATGTCTTTGCAATGTTCTTCAAATTCGAAATACCACTTAAACTCGTAAATTGATAAAAGTATTAATAAATATAGCACTAACTTCATTGGGTTAAAAAGACGTAAAGATGTACATTGCTTAAAAGTTACTACAGAACTTTAACCTGTGATTAAGTGTACCTAAACAGCTACAACAAAATCATTTAAGTACATGTATGTGTTTAATGTTTTTTCTCGTGGAATTTCTTATCACAAAACAATGATATAACCGGATTTAACTTGTCGTAACAATTAAGAAGTGATAAGAAGCTCCACTGAAACGTCATCCTTATTTTTATCATGAGTAACATTTAAATCGACTCTAAAAAGGTAAAACGACTAACGTGCATGTGTAAAATGTTACAGAAGAGCGATTTAAAGTAATTTTAAAAGTCTAATTTTATTTGTTATTTGGAAATACTATAGAGAATAGACGCGGGAATTTGACTGGACATTTGATACGACGCAACAACTTCTTTAAGACCATTTTTAGAGAAAAATCGAAGGGAATAGGGGAAGAGGTCCACCTAGGCGCGGCTACGTGGACAAAATAAATGAAAAGGCCAGTGTCACGTCATACGAGTATAAGGAGGTCAGTACCGTAAATTATGTTTCTGCACCATTTTACGTATTCATACGACATTTAGTTATAATTTACATTTAGTTCACAATCAGCCATTGCCGCAGTGTACTCATTTCACACCTACTAAATGTATCATTATTAGTTGTAAATTAGAACTAACAAACATTCTTAACAGTTGTCATACTATCATTTATAAGTGATATAGAACACAGAGATGATTGGAAGATTTTCCAGCGACAAGAGTATAACTTTTAAGTTTGATGATGGACACGATGAATCTGTATAGTTTTCCATAAAACAAATAAAATTAAATTTCAGATTTTTTTTCTTAAAAAAATTACTTTTCAAAACATTCTCCTGCAAAAAATTTCCAAAACGCTAAACGTTTAACCTTTCCAGGGTCGAAATATTATTTATACACACAACGCTCACAAAATTACCTGCATAGACCGTTTGATATCGCCCGTGCTAGGTGTAGAAGAAGTAGATGTCTTTGGTGAAACCGGGTCAGCCCTGTGCTCAGCCAACACCCGGTGTTCATGCTTCGTTCCAACCACTGAGTTCTTCACTTTATCTATCCTTGCTTGGATCGCTTTCCTTGATATAACCTGCGCGACATGTGAACGATGTACGAAAAATATTCACTTGTATTTCAAGATCCAGTACCATTGAATCCGATTGTTTTGCTAAGTCCTCCTTGTCAAACCGTACCTCAGTTTGTTATAATCTTTATTTTTTGAAAATAGAGTAAAATAACAGTTCGCTGGGCAAAAATGTTGTCAGCTTGCAAGCAGCCAGTGACTGCAGTCGATAAATATTCTATAGACTATCGATTAAAGTAAATAAATAGCTGAACTTGTTTCATTTCAATAATTTTCGCCCAATATTCACCCAACTGCTGAGTGTACTTAGTTAGCTTAGTGTTCATTTGAATTGCCAATTTTTTCAACTATGTCTATTAAAAATACAAAAAGAAGACATACTTTAAAGTTTTTCATTTTAAATAAATATAGCTAATAAATTCACCAGTCCTTATTAAAATATATATGAATAAAAATTGATTTCTATACTAGTAGACCAACTGTAAAAGAATAAACAAAGCAATAACGCAATTAATTAGTGATCATTAGAACGTCGTCGTAACATTCACATATTTTGGCAATATTTTATCTTCTTTCACAATCTATCGATAACACTTTCGACAACTAGTACATGACCATTTAAACATTTTTCAAAACTGGCAACCTTGCAAATGTCATTGTACTCCGACTTCAAAAAAGATAAACTATAGAATAATTTTATGTTTTTCTTTTTTGAACAACTTTTAGAGAGTAAACCCAAACGCGATACTAATTCATTATTTACTGATCTTGGAATATTGAGGTTACGTTACAATACAAACACATCAAATTATTAATACACGGACAATACGACTGACAAGGAGGACCCATAGCTCAACTTTTAACAAACCTTAGTTTTCTCATCTTTAGTACCCCCATCAGCCAATTTCCTCATTAGCCTTGCAGTTGCAGCAATTTGATGTTGTTGCGTATCTGAATTGGTTCTCGACAACCTTGTAGCAGGTCGGGGCGCTGGAGTAGTTCCACCCGTACTACTTCTTATAGTTTCGTTCCTCTTAAATGGTGTTACATCATGTTCTGTATCGGAATCGGCTGCTAAATATTGTCCACCACCAACGGAGGAAACGCCAGTCCGTAGCAGGTTTTCATGTTCAGCGTATCTAACCCTTTCATTGACAGCCACAGTGCCGTTTTTGGTTCTTTCCAGTCCTCGCTCCATTTCACCAATCTGCCTCTCGAGTTTTCGTAAAACATCATCTGATGGTGGAACTGGAGCTGGCTCGTCAGGTGGCTCGGTTTGAAAAGATTTTAAATGTATCGGGTGAGCTTTGTTGATTTCTAACTTCTTAGGTGCAATTCCCGAAGACGTCACTTCGTAATAAGCTCTTTGTGGCTGTGGGTTCCTTTCAAGCATGGCTAAGGAAACTGGTGACGGTGGCGGAGCTCCATTCACTGCAGGCTCTTGTTCAGTTGCTGCAGTCGCTTTCATCCTAAAGCTTTTTCGCATAAAGTCCTCTCGCGTTAATTTTCGTTCCATTGTTAGTAAATTACTCAAAATTTTAAAGTCATATCTCTCACTTACACTATTTACTATCACAGTTGTATCACTTATTGTTCGTCTATGTGTTAGCGTTTATGCATCTGTGAAATGCAAATACTTCATTAGCCTCATACGATGTAGCGATCGAGATAACTCCTCCAATAACAGATAATTGAAAGATAACGAGAGCACACAAGAGACTGGTCATAATCGATATTGACAAATACACAAATAGTATAAGCGACCTTGGGCGGACGAAGGGAAAGGCGTCAGTACTAATTTGCGTCTGACGTCAATTGGGAAAACTATGTGCTGACTGAATAACATGCTAGATCATACAAATTGAAAAACACTATTCAACTAAAGATATATTTGCATCACAAAGGTTCAAACGTTTAACACAGGCTTCTTAAATTTGCGAAAACATGAAATAAAAGTGAACTATTTCGATGTTTATGCAAGAAAATAGCAAAGAAGCTATTATAGTCATAGCTTGGTTAGAAATGAAATAATAAAAAATACTCCAGAACAAATAAACGTTCCTTTCGAAGTTGAAGATAGAAAAGACACTTAAAACATATAGGAAGACCATATTGGAAATGAGTTAGACACAGATAGCTCCCAACGCTACTCTACGAGAATAAAGTTCTTTTTTAATGAGACAATCATACCGTTAATCTGGTCTAAAACTTGTTAATTTAATGAACACGGTTCTCATTAAGTTGTTAATGTTATCGTGTTGTTAAATTAATCTTTTGTTCCGCTTCTTGAATTAGTAAAAGTTAATTAACTATCAACGTACCCAAATAACAGCCTGCACAGTAACAATGCGACTGACGTAAATACCAGCACTGTAGCACAATCAATATTAGTTACTTATTAACAGTCTATACATGAGCCTACGTCTTAGGCTCGTGATATTTATAGATTTCCTGGTGATGATTGATCAGGTGTGGCGTGACTTTGCTGGTAGATAGATAAGGATTATAGTTGCATTATTGTAACTACTAGAGGAAATGGTCTGATCAAGTAAAGGTCAAAATCGTTAATGAGGAAACGACTGGATAGATTTGTCATCAACATGGATTGACATGTTTGTTGGAAACTGTCTATTTAAGACTGAGGTTTTTAAATCGTCACTCGCCTTGGCAAAGTGAGAGGTTGAGGAGATCACGCGTCTATATAGGGCCATGCAACCTTTCCCGAGATCTATCGAAAAAGTAAGTCATAATTAGTAAATTAAAAAGGGCATGATACGAAAAGACGGTGCAAATCTCCAACATGGAGGAAAGCTTTCACCCAACTACCGGTGCACTAGAGTATTTATCGATCAGAATTACAAAAAACCTTGCTACGAACTTACTACCTTAACGAGATAAACCATACTGAGATTGGGTTTTTCCCAATGAAGCAGATTTATCATCGCTGGTATAGCAAAACTGCAATCTGTGACAGAGTCAGACGCTTTTGCGCTTTTTCTGAATTTGTACTCCCAATCACTGTAACTTTACAAATACTGACAACCTCGATGATCTTGGCGTTAGATGAGCTCAAATACATTTCTGGTATGAACAATTTCGAATAGTCTAAAGATTCTGGTCTTGGTGTTCCGGAAGTTATCTTGTGACTCGTCTTATAGGGAACTTTACTCCTTTTTTACTACTACGTGACTTTAGAAACAGATTATTGGTTTGATTGTCTGGTACACCCACATTCCCTAATTTTATCAGAAGCTAATAAGATCTGTAAAATACAGAAAATAACCTAGGGAAACAGGAAATTGAACTGTGAAGTAATCAAACAAAAAAGAAACGCGACCACAGACCATACCAGCTCTGCAGATACGGAGTTGTAATTCGATAAGGGTATTAGTGACCGCAGTCATGAATATATTAGGGTTGACACAGAGCATAAAACAAAGAAAAAACGTTGTAGAGAGAATTTGTAATATTCTTTTTTTAACTTAAAAAAGTATATTACAAATTCTTCAGCTAAGATAAATTTTAAGATAAAATTTCCGAAAACCAGTGACAGGCAACCACAATTCTGGAAACAAAAATAAACATGCGACCCCTATATCCAGAGTTAATAAAGTTAGTTCGACATTATCTGCTAGTAAAACAATTGTATTACTTATTGTGCGACGCAGCCCTGACATTTTTTATCAGCATCAGACAATACTTATAGACCACAAAGTCGACTATCTATTTCCGTATACAAATATCTTCAATACTAACGAAGGTAATAAGTACATTATATTTACAATGTTTACAATGACAGTCGAAGACGTAAGACGCGAAAAAAAATCATTAACAATAATTGGTGAAGGATTTGGACACAACGATAAAACAAATGATACAAACAAAAAATATTAGTAACGTAGGTAAATGAACACGATTACGAATCAAATTATCAGGTTGAAAGGAAGCCATTCCTTTCGTGTAGTGATTATTATAGTGACTCAATAACATCCTTATTGACAATCCATCCATGCCATATTCAGAACAAGAAACCAAATAAGTTTTACAACGGGACCTATTTCATATCGAGAATAAAATAACAACTGTTCATATTTTTCTATACCATTTCAGAGTGAAAAGTTGTTTGGTTTCCTGTACTCAATTTGCACTTCAGAGGATGTCAGCTAGAGACGATCTAAAGTATTTGGGTTGATTTTTTTATTAAATTATTTCATTTGTAACAGTGCGATTCGACATTGGGACATTTCTTTAGCGCATTATCAAAGCCAAATCCTAAACGAAGTTTTCTGATCCGTTGCAAGAGGTGCGAGCGAGACAAGCGTCGCATCGCGTTATCTTCGGTATCTGCAATAGAAAGAGACAACAGGTGTTAGTGGGAACACCTTTGAACACCTGTACCCAACACAGCTGCACACAAAGCCGCACCTGAAACGACAAGGGGTGTTCCGTTTTCTGATGAAAAAATCGTTGACTGTTTTTCTAATATTTTCAAACTACAAAATAGGTTATAACTCTACTTTCATCCGCTTCAGAAAATTATGATAATGCCCCTTCAGTTCTTTTCATTACTAAATTTATCATATCTCGAATAAATTATCTTTTAATTAAGTTATAATATAGATTCAAAAGATATATGAGATCGCCATGGCGTTTCCGAAATAGTAGCCGGTTTCTTTTAAGTAGTCATCGGATAATCGGATGCTTAACCTATTCGTTTGGAAATGACTTTTTGTATCAAAAAATGTCACGACATCGGGATTTGGGAAATTATTAAATGTGAGTCAGAAGATGTAGAATCTTATGTAACATTTAATCATATTTAGTTATTACTACGTAATCTACCGTAAGCCACAAAATTAGATGCGTTTTTTCATAAATCACTTTATTTTTGAATTGGTCTATTATACTCCGCAATAAAATTATAAAGCATTGAAAATAATGACTATGTATCAAATTTAAATGTGGCACGACTGTGGCTTGAATTCACAATTCACTCTGCTTGAATTCAAATTTTTCCCGTACTAACATGGTTCATTTTGCTTCGGTAGAGCGACGGAGACACCGGCCTTATTTCAGAATTTATTTCTTTTACAAAAGAAATTAAAGCCATTTGAAAAATGTATATCGTATAGTATACGTGTTCTAAAAAACATTGGTATTATGTAATACAGCGGTTTTCTTGTAAAATTTCGAGGTTTTACACCGTATAGTAATCAGTTTATATCCTCAATTTTAACCCTTTGACTGTTACGCGAAATCAACCAGTCATTTGAGGTTGTATAGACTCTTAATTCTAAATACTGTATCAAAATTAGTAGTGCCACCGGTGGAGCGCCACAATATATATATATATATATATATATTTTTTTTTTATTGCACCAAATAAAATACATCAGAAATATTAGATGGCGCTGTTGTAGCGTTTTTATAAGGTCTAAGAAGCCGTTTCCATAATTCGACGGCAATGCATGTAAAAAATTCACTTTTAGGTATAAAAGCATCCATCCGCATTCCGATCACTAAAAATATTTTAAAAAAGTGTCGACGAACATCTCTTAGTTTTGAATCGACAGTCAACGATGTTTATCCAAAAACGGATCACCTTTTACCCACCACCGCACCTGTGTAAATGGACGGACAGAAAGCGACACAAAAATGGCATCATACATAGAACATGTCTTCCACCACGATAAGATATTGTTCACGTACTTGTATCTTGGCGATTGTGTACAGATGATAAGCTTTGTTTGGTTATTGATACGATGTTATAGGGAAAATTTATTAGAACGTTTTTCCTTACAGTCTTTCGACTATATTTGACTAGTCCAACTGACTCCCATTTCGATCAGTGTTTAATTCATCGACTCATCCGAAGAACAAAATACGGTGTGATTATACAGCGAAAGGAGGTTAAAACATAATCTCGTTATTCAAATAAAGGTGTTTTCAGATTTTTATGTATTTATTATTTCATTTCGGAAATATAAGCTCGAACAACAGTCGATGGATATCCGCAGTCAAGAACAGCAAACGAAATGTACAATGTCCCGAGAATAAGCAGCATCTTGCGCATAGGTCTTTGTTCTACGGATGAGTCGAATTACGCATTGTAGTAATAAATTTTCAAGTCGTATTATATGGATATCGCACTTTTGGTGTAATAACGCCACATCTGCAAAATGACAACTTTTAGGTTTTTGTTTTTTAAAGATCCTACGAACAAATGCATCAACACATGCAGCGAATTAGAATAATTTTCCTTTAACATTCTATTATATTTTACGTTAAAAATGTTTATAAGTAACAGAAATCAAACTATGTTATGTTGATTAATGAATGTTAAATAGCAATAGCTCTCGATTACGGCGAAGGATACCAGGTTTTTTTAATGATACCAAGTGCAGAGCTTTAAATCGCAAACATCTGAGGGGTACTGCCACAACCCCACGTGACTGTAATTTCACCAACATCCTTATTGCGATTAGTAACTTTCGCTAAATTTACTACCTCTTTTATCTTTGAGAACAACGGAAGCAGAAATAACAGTAATCAACAATGAACAGAACTAAATTCAACTTAAAAGTTAAACATAAACTTAACCAAGCTATAATAGTTATTTG